AAGGCCGGTCTGGACAAATAAGTATCAATTTTTTTTTTTTCCAGAAAGTAGAAAGAGAGCTAGGGGAGGAGCCCAGTGATGGGGCTCTTGCCTTGTGTGACCTGAAGTGTCCAGAAAAAGAGCCACACCTGTGGTAAGGCTTCTACAGGCTAGGGGACTTATCAGAACCGTGAGACACAGAGTAGGAATGTTTCAAATCTGGAATCAAAGTATCTTGGGTTATTTTTTAGCCCTCTTAATAGTCGTTCATTGCACACCTCCATGTCTAACATTACAGGTTCCCTCCCTGGGTCAAGTTGAGTTTGTAGTCTATGGTTGAGAGAGATGTGTAAGGAAGACAGAATGAGGGGCAGCAGGCAGCATTTTATTGAGAAGCGGGGTGGGGGAAATGGGTTGCCAGGTAGAATGCCGGATGCAAGGTTCTTCTATATTTGAAGAATATGCTAATTTGGTCCTGCTCATATGTAAATTAAGCACAGAGTTGAGATGAACCTGGTTGTTAATTTGCATGTAGACAGAGGATTCTGATTGATCAAGGAACCTGACAGAAGAGTGAAGATTCAGAAAAAGCCACTAACGTCACCCCTCCCCCACCAAAGCAACAAGCAGGAGGAACTACCACCAAAGAACAAAGGCTAGAGATTGGCTGACATCTTGATGAGCCAGGACCTTCCTGGATTTCTGTTTCTGGACTCTTTATTCATTGCTCAGAGTTTATTATAAAACTTCCAAGTTCTCAGAGCTGACTACTAAGTTCAGCAGGGCATGTAGACACTTTGCACAATTGAGCCTGTGACCTTGACTAGTTTGCTTAGAATGAAGCTGTCTCACCCCTCATTTCTATCATTAACATCTCTGTGATTATTGATAAGTAAAAATATCCCCTGGTAGTGGGTAACTCTATAGATGCCGTAAATCAGATCAGGCCAAATCAAACTGAATTAAATTCCAGGTTTTAATCTGAGCAAAGCATTCCCCGGGTGGTCCCAGGGGAAGACGAGAAACCACGAGGGGAAACCATGAGGCAAGTCTGTGGGCTGCATCTTAAACACCCTGTAGGCAATCTTCAGGAGCTCCTAGGGAGCAGCAGCTGCTTGGAGCAATGAGAGTGAGGGTTTGGAATGGGGCCTGAACTGGAGATCCCCAACAATTATCATGAGAAGCCTTTTGGGAGGCATTAACAGACCACCAGCTTCTATCAACCCAGACACCCAAGAATATCACCAGACAATGTCTGCAGCCACAGCAGACATTTCCTCCCGCTTTGCTATACCTGCCTACCTGAAGTTGCCAGCCGTGGACTGACAAAGTACCGTCCTGAAGGGCTTTCTTCCGTCCTAGAACTATAAACACTGGGAAACGGTTACCATATTGAAGCATAGTGTTTGTGTAACCTGCATCTGTATTCCCAGACCATTGTGACATATATTTGCCTCCAGAATAAACTCTCTGTGGTTCCCTTGGAGGTGAAAGCTGTGTTTTTGCTTTGACACTAGGCTACTAAGAGGTTCTGGGTTCAAGCCCCAGTTACACAATCAATCAATCAATCAATCAAACAAAAAGCCCTGTGTGTGGGCTGCTTGGTTTCACTCAGGCCAGGCCCATTGAGCTACAAGCCAGCTTTCTTTCGGTCTGACAGGATCCCTGGCTTCACCTGCCTCTGCTTAGGTCCTGTCTTTGCATTTCCTGATGGGGAACTATTCCGCGTGTAGTAAGTGGGGGTGCTGGCCCACGGAAGTCTGGAGCAAACGAGTAAGCATTCAGAAACACTCACAGCAACTTCACCATTGCCTCCTCACCCAGAACAGGTGAGAATTTTGTAACGATCTAGTTACCATATTTTATGAAACCCAGTGGCAAATTGGAAACCATTAGAAGTAGAAAGTGAGCTGCGCTGTTCTCCATGGAAACACAAACTGTTGTGCTTTTGCACATTTGTAAGAAGTCACAACCGTGGTGGAAGGGTGGGGCCTGGAGACGGCAGCGTCAGGCTCACCTAGGAAAGAAGCCCTTCCCGCCTGGGCTTCATCTACTAAACAGAACACACCGAGGAAAGGCCACGCTGTTCAGACCTGGTGTAGCGGTGCTTTGTACACACAAGTGCCTCCCACACTGCTGCTCAGGAGGCCTTTTCCCTCAGCCTTCTGGCCTGCTCCTAGACTCAGGAGGACTATCCTTAATAAACCATCTCTTTCCAAGACCCTCTAGACATTTTCACATTTTTCTGAAACCCACCTGCCTCGTCCATCATGGAGCCACTTGCCAGTCTTCATTGCTGAATGTCTTAGTTAGGGTTTCTATTGCTGTGATGAAAAACTATGAGTCCATCACTGAAGGAAGTCAAACAGGAGGAAGCCGGAGGCAGGAGCGGATGCAGAGACCATGGAGAGGTGCTGCTTACTGGCTTGCTTCCCATGGCTTGCTCAGTCTGCTTTTTATAGAACGCAGGACCACCAATGGGCTAGGCCTTCCGCATCAATCACTAATTAAAAAAATGCCCCACAGCTAGCTCTTATGAGGGCATTTTCTCAATTGAGGTTCCCTTCTTGCAGATAATTGTAGCTTCTGTCAAGCTGACGTAAGACTAGCCAGCACACTGAACCTGCCTGCTTTCTTGGACCCTGACTTAATAGCCAGGGCTTTCTCTCTTCTCTGTGTCTATCTTTCTCCTTCTGATGGCTGCAGAGATTTATGGCCTGTCTGCCCTGTTGCTTCTCTCCCAAACTCTAATGAAACGGTCCTTGAACTTCTTTTCAATCTGCTTTTAAATTCTTTTATTGACAAAACTAAGCACCCACCAAGGGAACCTCCAAATCCCTGGTAAAATAACTATTTCTTTCTTAAAATAGGCCTTTTTATTTTTTACTGCCATTTATTTTCTCATACATGATTATAACACAAAAGGAAAACCATATCAATAGCCAAGAAAAGAAATCGATTTAAAAATAAGTGCAACCAAAGCAAAGCAAAGCAATCAGATTCTAACCAGAAACGAGTCAAATACTCCAGACCAGTGGCCTATTAAAATGGTGACTTAACAGTAGTCGCAAATAAAGATTACAAAGGCTGCCAAAGATCTATCAGCTCCACACTTGAACCTCCTCTGTGTTGTCTCCACACAAAGAAACCCGGAGGAACGTCCTCACTTTGTGATTCGGCCGCGTTTCCCGCTCTATCAATTTGTTATGTCATACCACAGGACCAGATGTGAAAGCACACATACAGACTTCCCACTCTCAGCACAGGACGAACAAGAAATAAATAGGTGATGTTTCTCAAGGCTACAAGTCAGCAGCCCTCAAAGGTCTACATTGCCGATGTTTGTTTACCAGGATTTTGGTTTTGTCCACACGGAACACACTTTCTCCAGAAACAGTGATATAAACAAGATCACAGAGGCAAGAATGCAGAGGGACTCCTTCCCATTCGCAATGAAAAAGAACTGCATGGGAGACAGTTGTAAATGATGTATCCTGCCCACCCCACAGGCTTCTCTGCCTCCAATGCCCTCAACTTGGAGAGAAGGGGAAAGGTAGGGCTGGGGGCCTGGCATCGGGTTTCTGAAGTACTCTAAGGAAAAGTTACCAGCTTTCCAGCCACTGCTGGGACTTAATCGGTGTTCCAGGAAAACCCCCTTCAAAGGCTGGGGGCTTTGAGGTTTCGCTACGAACAAGGTGAGAAGGTGAGAGCACTGTGTGAGGCATGTCTCTCTGCTGACCCAGAGCCAGAGGGGCCACAGAGGTAGGTCCAGGTGTCTTTCCAGTAGCAATGCTAGTTCCCTGAGGTTGAGGGTACAGGGCAGGAAGCACATCTGGAAGTTTCTCCAATTTATTCTTATCCTCCCTTTTCTTTCTCCTAAGTCTGGCCTCTGCCTGGGAACTGGCCACAGGCATTTCCTCTATCTTGTATTATTCTCTTTCTCCAGAAACTCAGCAAGGAGAGCTGCCAGGTTTGCCGAGGACTCCTACCATTTCCCCAGTCTCCAGGGAGACAGCTCCCGAGGAAAAGGATCTGAAAGGAGAAACACAAACATCCACACGCCAGTTTGGTTTCTGTTCTTGTTCAGGCACCAGGATATTTTCTGCTCTGGACTCTGACAATCAACAGCCTTGTTATCCTTGCTGATACTTTCTCTCTTTCCTCATCCCCTTGCCTCTGCTAATACCTCTACCTACCTACCTAACTATACACACAGAGAGAGAGAGAGAGAGAGAGAGAGAGAGAGAGAGAGAGAGAGAGAGAGAGAGGCTTGCAGTTTCCAGTGTTACCTCTGAGGGTAGGGAAGCATCTGAAAGGAAACCAGTAACTACATCTTCATCTCCTGGAAAGTTTGTCTCAACCTCAGTTTGGAAAAACTAAGAAAGGAGGCACAGGAGGTCGCGTTACTCCTTGCTGTCCCCAGCCCATTCTCATCTATCAGTGAGCCCATAATTCATTAGAGGCCCGATGGTAAGACCTAACTCTCATCACTCAGCGCAGTCACAAAAGGCGGGGCCCATCTGCCTCCTACTCCTGGGCTCCATCCTTCCATGCCCCAGCTTTGGGAGGATGAATCCATCTTTTCTATTTTTACCACTGATGAGACAGATAAAGTACTAAGGGTGTTCATACTGTAAGGACAGATGGCATACATTTGTTTTAAACAGTATTTCAGTCGTATTTCCAAATAACATGCTGAATGTTTTTTTTTTCTTTAACTCCTGGCCCCTTTTTAGCAATAGATCTCTAAATCCAATGGGATGGGTCTAATTGTTAATCTGAAAAGAGTACAATTAAAATATAAGAGTATCCAGAAGCCTGGAAACAAGCTGTGCCTTACCTTTTCTCAGATTAACCTCTAAATCCACAGTTTTATTTTACTTGATTGATTGGTTGAGACAGGATCTCATTGTGTAGTCCTGGCTGGCCTGGATCTTGTTATGTAGAGCAGGCTGGCCTTGAACTCACAGAGATCAGCCTTCCTCTACCTCCTAAGTGTTGAGATTAAAGGCATGCACCATCACACTAGGAACGGCCATTTAAAATGTAGCTATTCCTCATCTGAAACGTACTTGAAAACAAAAGTAATACAGAGATTTGTTTTTTTAAAGTATGAATACCGTAATTTTATAATGGAAATTTCTCTTCTGTCTTCTGAGTTTTCAAACACCCTGCAAATGTTCTATAACTTGAAACTTAAGACTCCTTGACTGGTGTGCATTCCTCTGTGCTGAATTTCCAGTTTATTGGATTACTAAAAGAGCCACTTACTTACCTACACATAAACCCTCCCCTAGGAAAGATCACCTGAAACGCGTGTGATGCTGATGACATATTCATCACAACACTCCGAGACTGAAGATGCTTTGGCACTTTGAATTTTAACGATCTGGAGACGAAATCTTGGGGCCTCCAACAAGACACAGAATAGGAAAGGGTCACTGTGTCCTATTTTTTCTTTAGTCTAAAAGAGAACTGTTATTACATAAACATTCCATCTGTACTACACAATAAGCCTAAATAAGTGAGAAAAAAAATCTTACTTGCAATCTTGTCACCTCCACCGGTCAAACTCTTTGTGCATCCTTCCTAGCCACCGCAATCAGTGTCTTCTGTAACTGGAAATTTCCCTCTGTCCTGCGGTCAGGACACACCTTTCTCACCCGCCAGTCCCGCAGCTGCGGACCCAAGTAAACACACAGAAGCTTACATTATTTTTAAACTATGGCCATGGCAGGCTTCCTGCTAGCTAGCTCTTATATCTTAAGTTAACCCATTTCTATTAATCTATGTTTTGACACGTTTTCTGTGCCTTTACCTGCATCCCATTACATGTTGCTCCTTCAGGACTCGCTGGCGTGTCTCCCCCTTCTTCTTCCTGTCTGTCTCTTTGAATTTCCCACCTGCCTCTAAGCTGCCTTGCCATAGGCCAAACGGCTTTATTTATCAACCAATCAGAGCAACATATATTCGAAGCATCCAGAAAGATTTCCCCTTCAGTCTTCTGTCACTGAAACCATTCTAGAAATATGTTCCACATTGCTGGTGTAGCTAGTAAGAGTTTTTAGGAATCCACCTGGCTCCACTTCCTTAGTGCTGGGATGGCAGGCATATGGCTGCGCCTGGCCTTTTAGTGAGAGCTGGTAGCCAAACCTAGGACCACAGGTTTTCAAAGCAAGTGCTTTCCCGAGTGAGCTGTCTCCCTAGCTCAGTCTTCATAACAGCTACATTGTATTTTAATTAATCTCTTATTGTATGGCATTTATTATGCAATCCCATCTAAAACAAATAATTCACAGCAAGCTGATGTCTAGTTTAGGTTTCTTCTTCCTCGTGGATTATTACTCAAGAGATGGGAGGATGTGACCAGGAGCCAGGAAGAAAGGAAGTTCTCATTTCACCCGTTAGAAGAGGCACCTATAGCCTCCCATCCTTTTTCAGCAGATGTTTGTTCAGTAGCTGCAGCAGAGTCCCAGACCACTGGGACAAGCTCAGGTCCATTCTCAGGAAAACAGGCTGAAGGGTCATGACCTCAATGATCTAGTTATGTGTTACTACACAGTTTTCTACTCCTTGTAAGGAGAAACACCAACCAGCATGTTAAGAGTAGACCTGTGTCACTAAAAACAAAACAATTAAAAAAAAAAAAAAAGGATTAACTAGTCGGTTTTGTGGCCTTTAATCCCAGCACTTGGGATGCCCAAGCAGACTAATTGCTGTGAGTTCTAGGTCAGCCTGTTCTACATAGCACGTTCCAGGTCAGCCAGGTACAGAGCGAGACCCTGCCTTTTCACTTTTCTTACAGTTCTAAGGTTATATGAATGAGCCACATTCTCCTCTAGTAGCTCCAGAAAGTATTGGATGCTGGTTTTGTTTCACAAGGCTACACACATCTTTAGTATCTATTTTTCCAGAGAGGGCAACAGAAAGTGACCAATTTGTTGGTTTGTTTTTTTTTTTTTTTTTTTAACATGCCTGGCATCATCAAGGTAAATGTCTTTGCTAGGTAAATTACCAGCGCTAAACGTGTGTAATGATTCGTTTCTCTTCACAACACAAAACAAGTCAATTAACATGGACAGAGAAAGTAATTGAGTGAGGGCTTTAGACTGTGGGGAAGGAGCAGCTAGGTTCTCTTGGGCGACACTGGAGAAGGGCATGTCATGCAGGATGAGCAGGTGAGAGGTGAGGTGGGAAGAAACGAGAGACACTCCTCCTCATTCTGCCTCCCCCTTCCCTTCTAACCGCCGGGTCTGATTTCCATAGGGAGCAGTTTGTTACTGTTTTTAATGTTCCCCGTTGACTCTGGTGCTACTGTCTTTTTCAAACATCTCCAACGTCTTCTTTTCTCTTTCCGTGGCATTATAGCACCAGCAGGTTGATGAGGAAGTCCAGGCCCTGCCATTTGGTAGCCTTTGACTTCTGCCAGCTCTTATCCTGGCCTTAATCCATCTGTGAAGTGAAATGAAGTGCCTATTTCTAGAAGGCTGCTATGAAGATTCAAGGAGAAAATATTTGCTTCACATGGTAGGGTCAACTGTTACATTTGAAGACCCTTCTAAGGGTGACTTCTCAATCCCACTGATGTTAATGCGGGGCCTAAGACTTGATTTAACTGAAGAAGTCTTGGTGGTAATGATTTATGGCACTTTGAGAAGGACTATCTAAGAGCCAGTAGACAGTTTGCCTTGTTCTTTTTTTTCTTTCTTTCTTTTTTTTTTGTACACCATAATGACCAGCAATGTTCCAGACAGTAATTGCTCCATCACTTTAAGTCCTAGAGAAAAAATAATGCAAAGTAGACTTAAGGCCAGAAAGCAATGGATATGTAACATGAACAAGAAATAACCCTATGTTGCTAAGATAGAAACCCTCAGGTTTTAGGGTAGTTTGTTCTCAAGTCTTCCTGAGACATCATCTTCAGCAGAAATAGGTTAGAAAAGCTCTTGATGATTTTGCTTTTCATCTAGAACCGATGTAAGGAGGGTTGAGTATTTCTAGTTGGGATTGCAGGCCTATATCACTACGCCTGTCACCCAGTATTTTTCAAAGGATATGTTCTCTGTAAAAAGAAGTTCTCATTTGTTTAAGTAAGATAGAATTTGTGATTATTGTAGCACCTTCTGCAGGACTGTCCTCTTTCAAGAGTTGCTGATTACTCTAATCAAAATGTAGAAGCAACTGTTTCCAGTCACTGAGCAGCAGACAGTGTTGTCTCTGTCTCAGAGCGGGAAATAATGAGATGAGTTCGATGGCAAGCCTAGTTCCTCTAAGAGGTGCTTTTCAGAGTCGTGTGACAAGACCAAGTAGAATGCGATCCCGCTGAGTTTCAGTCACAGGTTAGAATCTCAGGTGGGTAACAGCTGCAGCTGCGAGAGCAGAGTTCCAAAAGTACTATTAGAAAAGGGTATCATCTTTGAAGTTATTGCCGAGTAAATAGCAATAATGAAAAAGAGTAGAAATCCAATGAGGTTTCATCACATAATAACTGGGGAATTTTAAGATATATTCCCAGTTTTCCGACAGACCTTGAAGACATTTGGCTTTCAACTACCAACAGCAGAATGTACATCATGTCCCCTAGCATCAGAGCTTCAAAACACATGACATAAAAACTAACAGAACTGTCATGGTTTGAGAAATGTGCATGTATTTAAACATCTGGTCCCCTGTTGGTAGTCCTGCTCGGAGAGGTTACATGACATGTAGGGGATCTGTTTATAGCCTCACCCCACTTTAAGTTCACCCTCTCTGCTCTCTGCCTGCGGGTCAAGAGTTGACCCTTCCGTTTCCTGCCCCCGTAATCAGTAATTACAGTCCAAAATGTCAGGATTTCTCAACAGTAGATGAAGAAGTAGACAGTAGATTAGAAAAGGCACAGAATAGGTGGGGCAATATCCTCAATCAGCTAGGATTGTTTCGTTTTGTTTAACATTTATAGACTATTCCACTCAACAAATAGCAGAATACATTCTCATATACACTTAAAATCATCATGAACAATACACTCTGTATCTTGAAGCTAGTTTCAGAAATTGAAATTATTCCAAGCACATTCTTTGATCATAAGAAATTTAATTAGAAATCAATAAAATAAAGAAAACTGGAAAACTACTAAAATTTTGCAAGTTCTATTGTACCTTTCTAAATAACCTGTGAATCAAAGAAGAAACTTGAGTCAACATGGTGTTACAAACCTTAATCTCAGTACTCAGGAGGAAAGGCAGGTGGAGTCTGTTAGTAAGGCAGGGCACTGTGAAACCACTGAACTAGACTGCCTCATAGTTAGAAAGGTTTATTGGACATCAAACTGCCAAGGCTATTTCCTAGGGGTAGGGGACAGAGAAAAGAGAAAAAGAGAAAAAAAAACATATTTTATATGACAGTCAGCAGGGTGAGGTCTTTAAGTTGATATAAGCTGTTGGGATTCCTTGGGAACTAGGTGCCATTGCCCAAGACAGTGACCTTTGGGGTGAATTAAGGAAGGTTCCTGGTGATTTAAATGAGGCTCCTGGTAAACAGGAACCCATCTTTAGGTCTCCGTTTACTCAACAACAATCCTTCTGTTTACCAGGCAAAGTCCTTCTGGTTAGGATAGTGTCACCACAACTGCTATTTTGGGGTGCCACTTGAGACCTAACAAATTTCTAGGAGTTCAAGGTTATCCTGGGCTACATAATGAGTTCCAGGACAACCAGGGCTATGTAGGGAGACCCTGTCTCAAGAAACAGGTAGAAAACTTTAAATGTCTTGAATAGTTGGTGGTGTGGCTCAAAGGTAAATAAAAGTAAACAAATGTATTAATTTCTTAGAAGACATAAATAATCAAATTTGATTCAAGAAGAAAAAATCATCCTATTAGGCTCATTGAAATTGGCCAAATGTGTTACTGAACGCAATACCTGCAGTGCTCAGGGTTTCAGAAGCAGGCTTTCAGCTCCACTAGCCTGGTCTAGACAGCAAGACCTAGTCTCAAACAAAACAAGAAAGTAGCCACCCTGCAAAGAAAAAGAGAAAGAAATAAAATTTTAAAAATTATTTATTTCCAAGTGTGGTGGCACATGACTTTAATCCCAGCACTTGGGAAGTAGAGGCAGGTAGATTTCTGTGGGTTCAAGCCTAGCTCAGACTACTTAGTAAATTCCAGGCCACCCAATGTTATATAGTGAGACTCTGTCTCGGAAATTTTACTTATTATTACTGTGTACATGTGAGATGGAGGAGGTGTGTGTTGTGCCACAGTGCGTGTGTGGAAGTCAGGGGACACCACTGGAGGAGCCTCTCTCCTCCCACTTCACGTGGGTCCTGAGGATTGAATTTATGCCTTCAGGCTTGCATGGCAAGAGCTTTTATCCGATAAGGCATTTCTCTGGCTCAAAAATTAAAGTACTAATACCTATTTTTAAAAATTGAGGTCCTTACTAGGGTTTTACTTTAAGCCCAAAATAGTTTTAGTTGTGAATCTTATTAAACATTTAAGAAAAAAGTCAGTTCTACTCACACCCCTTCACAAACCAGAAGAGGACTATTTCCCAATTCATTCTATGATGGCATAACTGTTCTAACAACACTGATAATGATATTATAAGATTAAAACCACCGCCTAATACACCTCATGAACAATGATGTAACTTATCTATGAACCTTATATTATCGAAT